TCTGCACCCTGCAAAGACTGAGCATTAATAAGAATGGACAGACCTGGGTAGACACCCTGATTTTTTTGGTTGTCTTATATAATTAAAAAAAAATGTTGAGAGCATATTTACCAGTCCTAATTTGCTTTTAAGATGAACATCATTAAATTAGGAAGTATGTTATCATTATTGATACTATTTCAAGTCTCCTATGTTTTAAAAGTTGATCTTGACAATAACTTTAACATTCTGATCCTTATATTCAATCAGTTGCCTGTAAAAATCTGCCCACGAACTTTTTGGTTAGTTCAAGTCAAGAAGGTATAATTTGTATTTTTTGTATTTTCACTTGTAGCCTTGTATTTTCACTTCATTTGAAGACATTTCTTTCCTAGGGATAAAGGTTATATTGAAATTCAAATATCTAGAGGAACAGATAGTGTCAGAGCATAGATCAGAGAGCCAAACCTAGCAAATGAAAACTGAAGGCAGGGCAGGGTGGCTCACACCTGTAATCCCAGCACTCAGTGAGGCCAGGTGGGTGGACTGCTTGAGTTCAGGAGTTTGAGACCAGCCTGAGCAAGAGCAAGACCCCATTTCTAAAAAACAGCCAGGCGTAATGGCGGCCTTCTGTAGTCCCAGCTACCTGGGAGGCTGAGGCAAGAGAATTGAGCCCAAGAGTTTGAGATTGCTGTGAGCTATGACACCATGGCCTTGGCACTCTACTGAGGGTGACAAAGTAAGGCTCTGTTTCAAATAAAAAATAAAATAATAAATAAATAAAAGTGAAAATTGACAGTAAAATAGGAGGGAAGCTGATTTAAGCTCATTCCCTTCTACCTGAGGAGTTTATGAGGACTCCCCATAATACCAGTGATGGCTAGTAATTGGATGTGAGATCTGGTGAGAACAGTTTTTTTCAAACTTGGCTGCACATTAGAATTACTGAGGTAGGTTTAAGAAGTACTTTTCATTTAAAGTTTTTTTTTTTTCTTTTTGAGACCGAGTCAGCCAGGGTAGAGTACCATGGTGTCATAGCCCACAGCAACCTCAAACTCTTGGCCTCAAGTGGTACAGCCTCCTGAGTAGACGAGACTATAGGTGCCTGCCACAATACCCAGCTAGTTTTTCTATTTTTAGTAGAGACAGGGTCATGCTCTTGCTCAGGCTGGTCTCATACTCCTGGACTCAAGCAATCCACCCACCTCTGTCTCCTAAAGCGCTAGGATTATAGGTGTGAGCCACCATGCCCAGCTCTAAAGATTTCTTTTTTTTTTTTTTTAGAGACAGAGTCTCACTTTGTCACCCTCAGTAGAGTGCTGTGGCGTCACAGCTTATAGCAACCTCCAACTCTTGAGCTCAGGTGATTCTCATGCCTCAGCCTCCAAGTAGCTGGGACTATAGGCACCCACCACAACGCCCAGCTATTTTTTTGTTGCAGTTTGGCAGGGGCTGGGTTTGAACCTGCCACTGTTGGTATATGGGGCTGGCGCCCTACTCACTGAGCCACAGGTGCCACCCTCTAAAGATTTTTTTTAAAGCACCAACCCTCCAGAACAATTGAATCAGAATATCTCAGGACCTAGGCATGATGCCTTTAAAACAACCCTACGTGAATACTATTCAGCCATAAAAAAGATGGAGACTTCACATCTTTTGTATTAACTTGGATGGAGCTAAAACACATTGTTCTTAGTAAAGTATCACAAGAATGGAAAAGTAAATATCCAATATACTCAATCCTAATATTAAGTCAGTAGATGATCTAATATATGCCCACATAAGAGAAAAACTCGGGGGCGGTGCCTGTGGCTCAAGGAGTAGGGCACCAGCCCCATATACCAGGGGTGGTGGGTTCGAACCTGGCCCTGGCCAAAACTGAAAAAAAAAAAAAAAAAAAAAAAAAAGAGAAAAACTCAATTCAATTCAAGTTGAGGGGAGGAGGAACTAGGGAGGGGGGAGAGAGGAGAAAGGGAGGGGATTGGTGTGCTCCCACTTAAGGGGCACAATGTAAGGGTATATGGCACATCGTTTGGTTGTGGGACACAACTACAAGAGGGACTCTACCTAACAAATGCAAATATTGTACCCTCACATTAATCTGACATTTAAGAAAATAACAAGAACAACCACCCTGGATGATTCTAAGCAGTAGCCAGGATGGAAACCTGAGTCGAAGCCAGGTGTGGTGGATCACCAATATAATCCCAGCACTTTGGGAGGCTGAGGTGGGAAGATCTCTTGAGGTCAGGAGTTTGAGACCAGCCTGAGCAACACAGCAAGACACTACCCCCCTTTCAAAAAAAAAAACTTGTTTGGATGTGGTGGCAGATGCCTGTAGGTTCAGTTACTCGTGAGGCTGAGATGGGAGGATCCACTTGAGCCAGGAGTTGGAGGCTGGAGTGAGCTGTGATCGCACCACTGCACTCCAGCTCAGGGGACAGAAAGAGAAAGAAACCTCAGAGTTGAGTCAGACGCCTGCTCCCCACAGAGAGGCGGGGAGGAGGGGAAGATGAGGCTGCTTTTTAAGTGGTTCAGAATGGAGCGGTCCTACTAAAGAATCTGAATATTAAACAGATGTGTTATTTTGAAGGCAAAACTGCCGATTAATAACTTATCAAGAACTTGCTTATGGAATACTGACTAAACAGGATGACTGATAATGCCAATTTTTAAAAAATTTTTTCTTAAGGATTAAACACAACCTCTAATACCCTTTAATAGGTGGAAGTTTTCCCCAAGTATTCAAATATTGCCACAGAAATAATGCTGCATTTGGCTACCTGTGGCCCCTAGCTGATACCGACCTCTTTAACAACCTCTGGTTCCAGGGCAAGACAATGGTAGGTCACCCGTGGAGAGTGGACACCATCTACAGTCCTTATGAGAGAGGTGAAACCTTGAGCTACATTGAATGGGAGTGACCCGGGGCCCCCAGGGTATAGTCCTGGGAAATAAGACCCCAGGTTTTGTGCTGGGATGATCCTCACCACTTGCTCATTAGAGATGCTGAAGCTTTTCCTACTCAGTGGAGTGAGAGATGGAGAAAGGGAACCAATTTTTATTAAATGCCTCTTCTAGCCAGATGCTGTACACAGATGATCTTAATCCTTATGGCAGTGGTTCTCAGCCCTGGCTGTACACTGGAGTCGTCTGGGAGTTTTAAAACACTAATGCTAGGGCAACAGGACTATTTCAATCAGAATTCACAGGGTAAGTATTGGGCATCATAATTTTTTTCAAGCTGAGACCATTACCACTTATCCCCATTTACAAATGAGGAAAGTGAGAGCTCATCTTCAAGTACTGAATCAGATCAACTCGGATTCTATGGTTTCTCCCTCCTCTGGCTCTCCTAAGGTCCAGCTTTAGCTTTTTGGGACCAGCAACTGGTTATGTTTATGAGGGAGTTTCTTATGTAGACAAGTGAGATGAACAAGTGAATTAGGACCTTAATTCTTGGTTTCTAGTTCACTCACTCAGCAGACTTAGGCAAATTACTTAACCTCTCTGTGTTCCAATTTCAAGTGGGTGTAATTACCAAGGTGGCTCACAGAGCTGGCTGGGAAGAAAGCCACTTGAAAAGATGCAGGATCAGAGAAAAGCTGTCATTACAAAAGAATAGTTAAGGTCCACTGCCACCTACCTATTTCTACTAATTTGGGTTTTGCCGAGGACATGAGCCTTGCCCTGCCTCCTAATACCAGTGTCAAATTTTTGCTTCAAGTATAAAGTTGGGAAGGAGCTACTAAGAACAGAGTCACCTATCAGGGTGAGTGACAGACGGGTGCAGCTGGGGACAGTATGGGGACACTATGGCCAAGAGTAAATGTTGTCCCCTCGGCAGTAACACAACGACCCTCTGGAGCTTTCTGGCGCTTTCTGGCCTTGGAGTGCACATGTGGGGAGAAGATTGCAGGGATGCTGACCCTGATGCCTGTTTATAGATAGATATGTATTTATGTGCCAAGTATACAGTGTGAGGATATAATACATAATGATGTGTTAATTTGCATATATATTAATATGTATAAACACAGACTCCTTCTTTAGGGTGATGCTAAGGCTGTTGGGAGATAGCTGTCCAGCATGGTTACCCGGCATTGATTGTTTTCTCCCGAGGATTCCTTTCTCCATTTTGCCGGTGTCCCGCTAATGAAGTCCTTTTATGAAAGATCTGCATCTCTTATGCCTCTGATGCCTCTTCTTGGCTTAGGAGAGAGGGTGGGGATGAGGGCACCGGGGCAGTGAAGAGAGCAAACTCAAGAATGTGAGCTTGAGGTAAATGGCCATTTCTTCCCTCAAGGGTGGTGATGTCATCATGGCCACAGGTGTAGATTCTAATCATCTCATTTTGGGGGCCACCTCAAATCAGAGGATCCTTAGACTCTTCACCCATCTCACAATCTGCTTGACCCATGGCTAGGGACAAACAGAGGCTCCAGAGCAGCAGGTGCCCGGGAAAAACAAGCCACTTGCCACAGCTGCCCTGCAGTTGTGAGTCCCTGCACAGAGGTGGTCAGCACTGTCCATGTTTTTCCCTCGAGGGTGAGAAGGGGACCCAAACCCCACCTGGACCCAAGCATAGAGGCAACTTCAAGGGCTTTCCTGGGTGGGAGTCACTCTGCGCGATGTAAGACGGCTCCCTCTGTCTGAGGCAGAAGTGTGTGATCACCTACATTTGATACCCCTGCACTCAACATTTCTTTCAAATTTGATCTCCATAATTCAAGCACTTTTCCATTTTACTCATAAAGTAATCACTGGCCTGATTTAAAACTAACTACTTACCAGCTTAATACTTGACTTTTTTCTCTTAAACCTACACACTCTAGAAAGGTAGTCACGTTTATCCTGTGGCTTCTGTCCCAGCACGTCATTGCACACCTCTCCTTCCCAGCCTGAGAAGCCTGAACCTTGGCTGACTTTGGTGGCCTCCACCCACCTGGGGCCCCTTCTGGGGATGAAGAAGTCCATCCAGCGCCCCCAATCTCACCTCCCACAGTCAATGAGGGTCTTACCTATGTCGCAGTGCTTGCCAGTATAGCCAGGGGGGCACAGGCATGTGACATATCCCTCTTTTTCCTGGCAGGTCCCAGCACCACAGAGCTCCTTGTCACAGGACCTGGCAGGGGCTGTAGGGGAGAGTTTGAGCATCAAGAACACAGTCACCTGTGTACAACTGTTGCCTCGGAGACTTGAAGTTGAGGGACGACCTGAAGGCCACAAGTCTGGCTTTGGGTCAGCATGTTTCTGGGACTCTGTCCCTCCTGAGTCAGGGAGATCTCTGACTGCGACAGCTCTCTCAGCACAAAGAGAGGGGCACACGATCTCAGAGCCAAAAGCAAGAAAAATCTGTTACTAGTGCTTATGACCTTGTGCCCAGGATTACCTCAAGGTGAGACAATCCTGATAGTACAGGCATCCTTGTACTAAGATTTGGATGGGGCTGAAGGATATAAAGTCAGGATATAGCCCAAATGACCTTTTTAGTTCCTTACATTGTTGCAGGTTTTAACTTTGCACAAAACAAATATTGAGATGTAAATGTCATTAGCAGATTTTCTCCCCCATCTCACACTCACTCTGGGGGAGGGGCCACGTGCAGAATTTCTAGCACTATCTGGTCATCCTTTCCTCAGCCTGTGCCAAGCACAGATAGTTGGATTCACCTGTAAAAATTCATGTGCTGTAACTCCACTGTAATGATACAGATCACTGATCTTTGTAAGTGTACGTTGTGTGCAAAGTATAACATGAAGCTAAGTGCTTGCTTTTTCTGTATTTCTATTTGGTTTCCCTGGCATGGTTCCCATTTTACAGCTGAGGTTAAGAATCTTTCTGGAGACTGCACAGTTAATCTAAGGTGGAGCTGAGCTTGGAACCTTCGAGCTACAATGCCTCCTACTATGCTACAGTAGCCTATAGTGTGAACTACCCAAACACATTTAAGGGGAAAAAAAATCCCAACAATACCTGCAACAGTGGGCTCTGATTCACCTGTCCCTTCTAGAGAAGTTGGGATAGAAGCATCTGTTGGGAAGGTGGCTGTTTCCACTGTTTGGGTGTCTTCTCCTGAGTACAAGGGGCTTGAGGACTCAATTTCTAAATGCGCCTCTGCAGGGCGCTGGCTCTGCTGAGGCCACTCAAACTCTGGGACACTGGTGCTGATGACAACATCCAGCCCTGAGGTGTGACCAGACAGGTCTCCACTTATTTCAGTCCTGTCTCCAGAAGATGTCGGAGCGACTGAAGAAAAGCCCGATACCTCTGTGCCTGCATCATAGCTGGTGGTCGATTCTCCACTCACTTCTGTGGCAGCTGACCCCTCATGGGGGGCCTCCTGAAAAGTCAAGGTGCTGCCACTCTCTTCCCCGCCTGAGGCTCTCTCAAGATCAGCTTCATGGAATGCAGAGGTGGTTCCACTCAGATCTGGGGACTCAGAAGCTTCTGCACTGGCCGCAGGGGCAGCAGATACCCCCACCCCAGGCTCAGGATAAGCAGATGTCTCACTGCTGGATTCTGGGACTGATGATGCCTCTACCCCAGACCCAGGGAGCATTGGTCCAACTCCACTAATGTCCCCAGATGCAGAGGCTTCTCCACTGGATTCGAAAAGTTGGGGTGTGTATGTCACAGGGGGTCTTTGGCCAAGTTCCTGAGAAAGAGTTGGTTCAGTAACACTCTCCACAAACTCAGAAGTGATCAAAGTAACTTCTGGAAGTCCTGAGACCTCTCCACTGGTGCCTGTGACAGAGGATTCTCCACTGACATCAGTGGTGCTGGCAAAGTCCCCACTAAAATATGGAGTACTTGGTGGTTCTCCACTGGGCTCTAGCAGCCCGGATTGTAGCCCACTTAGGTCCAAAAGTCCAGAATGGTCTCCAGACATGTCTGGTGCTCCAGAATGGGCACCACTAAGTTCCAAAATACCTGAAGGCCCTTCTCCTGCTTCTTGGGCTGTTGGAGCCTGGGTTACAGATTCCACGAAAGTTCTGTCTACAAGAGAGATGGTGGGGAAACCAGATGAAAGTCCACTGCTATCATATGCTCCTGAGGGCATGCTGCTCCTAATCTCAGCTCCAGAGGACTCTCCACTGACTTCACCTCTTCCACTGGGTAGGCCACTGAATTCCGGAGCCTGGGATGTAAACCCACTGAAATCAATTGTTCCAGAAGATTGCCCACTGACCTCCACTATCCCAGATGTGCTGGACAGATCTGGCTCTCCAGAAGGGAAGCCACTGTGTTCCACAGACCCTAAGCCTTCTTCTTCTTTAAATGTAGTAGGGGTCACTTCGACCAAACTGGTGTCCACAAATGTAATGCCAGAAGATTCACCACTGCCACTTGTGGTACTAGAAACCAGGTCAGGGATTCCAGAAGTTGCCCCACTGAACAACCCTGGCAACCCTGATGGTTGCCCACTGAGATCAGGGATCCCAGATGTTTCTCCACTCAGGTCTGTTATGCCAAATGGTTGGCCACTGCCATAAACAACTCCAGATGCTTCTCCACTGACACCTGGCTGTCCAGAGGGTAGTCCGCTAAGCTCAGGTACTCCAGATGTTTCCCCACTGGTGTCAGGAAACCCTGATGGAAGCTCACTGACCTCAAAAATTCCAGATGTTCCCCCACTGATATCAGGAAACCCTGATGGCTGCCCACTGACACCAGAGAGTCCAGATGTCTCCCCACTGATGTCAGGAGTCCCAGAGGTTTGGCCACTGAGTTCAGCTCCTGAAGGGAGTCCACTAGGTCCTCCACTAATGTCCCATTCACTGAACGGCAGGCCAGATATTTCTCCAGCACCGCTGATGTCAATGGTTCCTCTCCCTTCCAGTTCAGCTGCAGTGCTGGCTGTCACCACTTCCACCAATGTAGTATCCACTAGGGAGACAGTTGGGAATCCAGATGGAAGTCCACTAAAGTCAGGCAGGCCAGAGGATGGACCACTTCCAACGTCCACTCCTGAATATTTACCACTAAATTCAGAGGGAAGGCCACTTGTTTCTGGAGTGTGTCCACTTCCTAGAGTTCCAGAAGGCAGTTCGCCTAAGTCCAAAGCTCCAGAAACAGAACCTTCCAAGTCTTCTTTTCCTGAGAACAACCCACTGAGGTCCTCAGCTCCAGAAACTGAGGTCTCTAGGTCTTTCCTTCCAGAAGGAAGTCCACTGAGATCATCCCCTACTCCAGAGGTAGAAGTCTCTAGACTTTCTCCTCCAGAAGGAAGCCTGCTGACATCTACTCCAGAGGCAGAAGTCTCTAGAACTTCACCAGAAGGAAGCCCACTGAGGTCCCCTACTCCAGAGGCTGAAATTTCTAGAACTCCAGAAGGAAGTCCACTGAGGTCCCCTACTCCAGAGGCAGAAGTTTCTAGAACTTCTCCAGAAGGAAGTCCATCAAGGCCCTCTACTCCAGAAGCAGAAGTTTCTAGAACTTCTCCAGAAGGAAGTCCATCAAGGTCCCCTACTCCAGAAGCAGAAGTTTCTAGAACTTCTCCAGAAGGAAGTCCACTGAGGTCTCCTACTCCAGAAGCAGAAGTTTCTGGAATTTCTCCAGAAGGAAATCTGCTGAGGTCCCCTACTCCAGAGGCAGAAGTTTCTGGAATTTCTCCAGAAGGAAGCCCACTGAGATCCCCTACTCCCGAGGCAGAAGTCTCTAGAACTTCTCCAGAAGGAACTCCACTGAGGTCCCCTACACCAGAAGCAGAAGTCTCTAGAACTTCTCCAGAAGGAAGCCTGCTAAGGTCCTCTACCCCAGAGGCAGAAGTCTCTAGACCTTCTCCTCCAGAAGAAAGCCCACTGAGGTCCCCTACCCCAGAAGCAGAAGTCTCTAGACTTTCTCCGGAAGGAAGCCCACTGACTTTAGGAGTGCTAGACCACTCAATTCTTTCTTCATCTCCTGAGGCCAATCCACTTTCCACAGGTAGGCCTGAGCCCACTGTGGAGGTGAGACCACTAGAGTCAAGGTCTCCAGAGGGCAGGCCACTTGCAGTGACCCCTGAAGGCTGCCCACTGAAGTCAAAGTGTCCTGAGACTTCTCCACTGCCTGTGAAGTTACCACTGATGTCAGGGGCTCCAGATACCTCTCCAGAGCCAGGCAGGTCAGTTCCACTAGGCACTGGAAGTGAAGGTGTATATGGCTCCTCTGAGGGAGATGGCTTCTGTGAGGGTGATGGCTCCTCTGAGGCAGAGGGCAGTTCAGTTGCAAAAGGGCCTTCTGTGCTTTCCTCTGTTGCTACACCAGTAGGATGCCATGTAGGAGGGACCCCTGGAGGAGAGGAGGAAGAAAGACAAGGTGTGAGTTTAACTCTGCCCCAGTTTAAGTTCATACATGGAAGCTGAACTCCATTCTTTCCACAGAAAACTTTTCTCTCAAGAGCTCAGAGCTGTGTCCAGGTGCTTTCTAATGGAACTGTGTGTCTTGAAAAGGAAGGAAGGCAAGAAGGAAGAGAGGGAGGGAGGCGCCCGAGAAGCACCCCCTGTCCTCTGGCAGCCACCGGGTATACAGGCTGTGTTTTTACGACTCTCAGGGAGTCACACCAGTCACACCACCCCATGGATACGGGCCCTGACCATCATGGGGGACAACAAAGGTCAGCCTTTAAGTACTTCCACATTCTCTCTCTTTTTTTTTTTTGAGACGGAGCTTCCAGCTATCCCCCTGGGTAGTGCTATGGCCTCACAGCTCACAGCAACCTCCAACTCCTGGGCTCAAGCGAGTCTCCTGCCTCAGCCTCCCAGGTAGCTGGGACTACAGGCGCCCGCCACAGCACCGGACATCTTTTGATTGCAGCCATCATTGTTGTTTGGTGGGCCCGGGCTGGGGATTCGAACCCGCCACCTTAGGTGTATGTGGCTGGCGCCTTAGCCGATTGAGCCACAGGCGCTGAGCCTACTTCCACATTCTCAACTCACTTATTTAATTTCATGGTTTTCAAAGCATGGACCCTGGAACAGCAGCACCAGCATCACCCAGGAGCCTACAAGAGCAGCAGATTCCCAGCCCTCACCCCAACTACACTGATTCCAAAATTCTGAAGTGGAGGGGCCTGGCTCGCTGTCTTAACAAGCTCTCCGAGTGACACTGATGCTCACCTGAGTGTGAGAATTTTTAATCTCAACCCATCCCTCAGCAGTCAGGAGGGCCAGGTGGTGTTGTGTGTAAACATACATTTACTTTTTCAATTCTGACAGTCTTATTACAGGGGATTTGGAAAACAGAAAAGAAAAAAGAAAAGTCCCACCATTCTAAATAATCACAGTCACCTTCTTTTCATTTGGCTTTGTTTCCCTTGACATTTAAAATAGCCTAGCTGGGTTTTATGCCCTGTATGCACTTCCCAGATAGAACACCTGATGAGCGAGGGTGTTAGGGACACTGGACAGGGTCACAGTCCACTCCTGCTTGGAGGGGAATCTGGGAGAAGGAGGTGGGGAATGAAGATTAGCTGTGGTGGCATGCAAGATGATTTTAGGTGGGATCCAGAAATACACCCTTTTTCTATTGATGGAATTTTCATATACGTATCAGAAGCACACTGGAATGACATTTACAGTCATGATATAACATTTCGCTCTCTCTCTCTCTTTTTTTTTTTGAGGCAGAGTCTCACTTTGTTGCCCTGGGTAGAGTACTGTGGTGTCACAGCTCACAGCAACTGCAAACTCTTGGGCTTAAGAGATTGTCTTGCTTCAGCCTCCCAAGTAGCTGGGACTACAGGCACCAGCCACAATGCCCGGCTATTTTTTTGTTGTAGTTGTCATTGTTGTTTGGCAGGCCCAGGCCAGGTTCCAACCTGCCAGGCCCGGTGTATGTGGCCAGCACCCTAGCTGCTAAGCTATAGGCACCAAGTCTAACGTTTCTCTTTTAAATAAATCTGAGTTTCCTTCTCAAAGAAAGTCAATTTAAAGGAAAAGATGTGGCATAAACAATAGCATAGCCAGTTCCCAGATATGGCTGAAATCAGCAAGGTGGCTGGGAACTGAGGTTTGGAAAACTGTTCTATGGGGACACTTGAGCCCCTTTTCCACTGGTAATCCCCCACTAGTGGTTACCAAAGTTCTGTACCAATTCACCCCCCTGTGCCAAAGAGGACTCTTGTTCTTGTCCTGCTGAAGGGTGAGGAAAAGGCCTCAGGCAGGTATAGCTGCTGGTGAGGCCAGAGTAGGCCAGACTCCCATTTGTTCAACAAATGTTCCCTTACTTTCTGGTAGGGGTGGAGGCCAGGTTTTGCATTTCCAGCACCCTAGGATCATGCACAGAATGCTGGCATGTGGCTGGATGAACAACTAGGAAGCTCTGATGGATTCTTTTCTTCAGAAGCACGTATTCTGGCTCGGCGCCTGTGGCTCAACCGGCTGAGGCGCCAGCCACATACACCTAAGGTGGCGGGTTCAAATCCAGCCCGGGCCCACCAAAACAATGACGGCTGCAACCAAAAAATAGCCGGGCATTGTGGCGGGCGCCTGTGGTCCCAGCTACTTGGGAGGCTGAGGCAGGAGACTTGCTTGAGCCCAGGAGTTGGAGGTTGCTGTGAACTGTGATGCCACGGCACCCTACCCAGGGGGATAGCTTGAGGCTCTGTCTCAAAAAAAAAAAAAAAAAAAAGGCACATATTCCCAGGGGAATGGGCTCTATTAAGCACACACATTACTGGATATTATTTTAACCAGCCATATCCAAATTGGGAGCCATTAGATGTTAAAAATGCTCTGTGGAGTTGAGGGATGGCGTGGTCAGGTTCATTTGGGACACATTGCTTTCATCACCTCCTCTTGGAGACTTACAGTGCATATTAGCATACTCAAGGCTCTGAGAAGGTCTATAGTGAGGAGACTTGTCTAGCATTTCCCAAACCTTAGTGGATGCAAAGTGCTTTTTCCTAACAAGGTGTGAGGATTGCTGCCTTCATCTAATTATATCCCATCCAGTTAAATCATGGAAGAAGTTTGGGAAGTTCTGGCTGGGAGGCCTGGCCCAGAAGAAGGACATGGGAGGAAAAGAAAGGCCAGGAGACAGGTCAAAGAATTGCAACAACTCCTTCCCTGGTTCTTTCCCCTTTATTAGAAATCCTCCTATAAGAGAGGGTTAGGTAGGGAAGTCAGTGCGGGAGGACAAGGCAACTAAGGGATCTATGATTGGCACAGGGATGGGAATCTGGGATATGTGCTCAGGAGAATTAAAGGGAAGGGAATAGTGAATGTGTGTGGGAATGTTTTATGAACAAGGCTGTCATTGTCACTCTTAGGAGGTCCTAGAGACCAGCTAAGGTGGCCAAAGATGCCCACAATAGCACATCCAGTTGGTGTCAGGCTTAGAGAAACAGAATACAGGTCCAAGGCAGAGAAACTCCTCCCAACCCTAGATGTACCATAGGCAGACAGGAGTATGTCCCAGAGCCCAAGCCACACTGACCTGGCAGTAGGGATGTGCCCACTGGGGTGTAGGCTGGTTCCCATTCTGTTTGTTTTTCTGGCTCAGTGGTGAAGTCTGGGATTGCGGTCATCTCCTCCAAGCGGACACCAGTTGTTTCCTCCAAGGGGAAAGCAGATGTCTCTTCCTCCAAGGGGACTGCGGTTGTCTCCTCTCTCAAGGGGACAGCAGCTGTCTCTTCCTCCAAGGGGACTGCGGTTGTCTCCTCTCTCAAGGGGACAGCAGTTGTCTCCTCCCCAGAGGGGATAGCATCCACTCCAGGCACCAACTGGGTAGCAATCCGGTCTTCCACATCAGTGGGCGATGTGACTGTACCTCCCTCCTCTTCTCCTGGTGAGGGCACTGCTGAGACACCTAAAGGAGATGCGGTGATGAGGGTTCCTTGATTACCAGTGACCTATCCCAGGGTGGTCTTAATGAGGGGAGCTAAGGGACTGTGAGGTGAACCAGGCCTGTACAAGAGCCTTGTTGGCCTCCCCCCATCGCCTATCTCTGAGTTCAGCAAGATGGCTCTTTGCCTTCTCAACTATTAGGAGCCATCTGCATCTACTACACATTAATCTGCATACACCATCAGCAGTTTAGTTCAGGGTGGTCTGTGGCATCCCTCTTGCAGAATCTATCATACACGGCAGGCATTATACTAAAGGTTATTTTATTTTATTTTATTTTTTTTGAGACAGAGCCTCAAGCTCTCCCCCTGGGTAGAGTGCCATGGCTTCACTGCTCACAGCAACCTCCAACTCCTGGGCTCAAGCGAGTCTCCTGCCTCAGCCTCCAAAGTAGCTGGGACCACAGGCGCCGGCCACAATGCCTGGCTATTTTTTGGTTGCAGCCATTATTGTTGTTTGGCGGGCCCAGGCTGGATTTGAACCCGCCACCTTAGGTGTATGTAGCTGGCGCCTTAGCCGCTTGAGCCACAGGTGCCGAGCCTATACTAAAGGTTTTATGTATGTAAAATAATCTTATCTTACAATAACGTTATGAGATAGATCCTACTATCTCATTTTGGAGATAGGGAAACTGAGGCATGGAGTTACATGATTTGTCCAGAGTCAGTGGCTTATAAACAGCAGATCTAGTCTTTGAATTCAAGCATCTGGTGCAAGACTCTATGTTTTCAGCTACTGCACAATGCCTATCTTGGGGACAAGGATTAAGTTCTAAGTACATGAGGACCAAGAACAAGAGGGTTTTATTTAAATTCTATGAAGCCATTCTGGTACTTGGGGAGCAAAGGCAAGATTCATTAACTGGGAGTAGCTTCTCTAGCTTTGGGGAAACCAGCAATGAGCTTGGTCAGGAAGGAAGCTGAACTTCTCTGCAGGGTAATACAGAAGCCTAAGCTCTTCAAGGGTCAGGATACGTGGGGAGGGGTACATGGCTGGGGATATGCTAGGAGGCTAAATGGCTTAGCTTCTACTGCCCAGAGCAGGAAGAAGGGGTCTGAGACAAGAGCTTTATCAAATCCTCTGGGAGAGAATTGGCCTTGGTGAGGCTGGCTGAATGGGGCTGAATTTATAATTGGGTTTTAAAAGATGACCCTGGAAATCTGGTAAACTTAGGGATGCTCAGGGTTTCTTTTTCCTAAACTTTATTTGGAAATAATTACAGATCCACAGGAAGTTGCAAAGACTCTCAGTTTTGTTGTATAATACCTAATATACTAAAATACAGTACCAGCTGTTATTACAATCTCCATTCTGGTCAGTGCACCTGGAACCTTTCAAGCATACTGTGAAACTTATCCAGTTAGAGCCCAGCAATGCCTTGGCTATCCCCTGGCCATGCCTACCACATTGCTCCATGACATTATTCTCAGAAGTCTAACTGGGAGTGATGGGTAATATGGCAGCATGTCCATAGCATGGGCCAAATATGAATGTGAATTACTGGTGCTTAGTGCAGAATAACAGAATAATTTGACTAAACTCACTGCAAAAATATTTATGAGCAGTAGAGAATCTGACAGGGATTAAAGAGTTAATAAAACATAGCTATACTATCTCTCTATAATGTATATATATAAAATAAAGCTAACATTTATTATTTACTCAATATTGAGCATTTCCCAGGCACTATGCCAGATGCACCACTTGCACTATCCCAGTTAAACCTTACAGCAACTCTTTTTGAAGTAGGAACAGCTATCAAGTAGCAGTGCCATAATATGAAGTCAACACTGCTTGATTTTACAGCCTAAGTTCTTTCTCGATTTTCTCTACTTGTCTATGGGGAACTGTAGAAGGATCACCTTGCCTTGGGATCAAAGCCTAAAGTCATGCTTGTTACAGAGCTACCCCAGCCCCAGAGGGAATTTTTCCTGCTTGCTATGGTGAGTGGGGATAGTGGGTGGGAGTACCCCTCAATCCGCTGAGGAGGGATGAGGCCACATACCTCGGAAGCAGAAGGCGTGGTGCCGGGATAGCGGATCTGGGAGGCCCGTCTGGTTGGGATAGAGGTAGACAGTTCTCACACCTGGCTTGTCCCCGCCGCAGGCGGGCCGTGGGGTGACAATGGGGTAACGGAGGCTGCCATCAGCCAGCCAGCCGGCATAGCACTTGTCCAGGCCACGGCTCCAGGCGGCATAGAGCTGGCCGGTGGAGGCCAGCGTGGCATTGTGGGAGACACAGAACTCTAGTGCTTCCTGGAAGGTGAACTGCTCCGGGCGCGTAGCGAAGAACACCTCTCCTGGGGGCAGAGGCAGGTGGGGGAGGGTGACCCTCTGCATACCCCCAGCCAGAGAAGGGGCAGAGCTCCCCCACCCTACCCCTCCTCAGCAGTCCCCACACCTGCTGTGTTGCACACAGGTTGAGACCCAGTCTAGCTCACGTGCACCCTTCTTTTACTCCCCCTTAGGTCTCCTGGGACTCTGGGAAATGGAGTGACTGACTGCTTTGGTTTGTACTGGATTGGGGTTTCTTGGGACCCAGGGCTTTCAGTGCTAAAAAAGCCAAAGTTCCAGCCAAACCGGGATTGACTTGGCCACTTCACAGGGAAACAACTTCCCCTCCTTCCCTCATTTCTGGATTCTCCAGGCACACTTAGGCACCCCTTCCCCTGGCTGAGAGAGGGGGCTCACCTAGGCACTGTCCAATTCCTGGGCACCCCTACGCTACTGCACTTGTGACCAAGTACTGTGATCAGCATGGACCTGCCCACCCCCAACCTGGTGACCTCATCGAGGGCAGGGCTTGAGTGCTGGCACTCAGCACGGGGCCTATCTGGTTTAGGGAGAAGGAAGCTCACTTACCAAACACCTACTTGTGCCAGGCACTTTTCACATACATTTGTTTAACACTCAAAAAAGCCTCTGTTGTGGGTATAAATCAGATGCATTTTATAGGTAAGGAAACTGAGGCTTAGAGGGGTTAAGTAACTTGCCGAGGGTCCCCAAACAAGCGGAGTGGCAATGCTGAAATCTTTCCAGAACACTAGAATTTCCAAAATTGGGTTCAGTGGAATAATAATTTGATGATTTCCATTGAAATTTAAAAAAAAGAAATAAAATAAAGGTCTGTAAGGAAATGAAGTTTGGCAATGCTGGATTAAACAGTTAAAGAGATCTTTTGCTGCAGACTTCTCAGAGCCTTTGATTTGTTCATAGCATTGTGATGCTCCAAAAGGCAGATGGTATATACAACGTTTATTTATAACAAACTGACTTATTTGCCCAGAGAACTTACTGCAATGCCAGGGGAAACCACACATGAGCTACCTAGGAGGGAAAGCAGGGGCTTGATCAGAGGGACGAGGCAGGCCTTCTTTCCTAAACAGAACCCTTTCCCACCAGGAAAACAGGGGGGGAACGAGTGTGGTGGGAGTGATTCCCCCTCCTCTTTGAGTTTCCCTGTCAGCCCTCTGCCCATCTAGGGCCTGAAATGTGAAAATCTGGCCCTTACCCTCAAGTTTGTCCACGTAGCAGTAGACGTCATAGGTCTCTGATGATGGACGGACGCCATAGGTCCTGACCCCAGGACTGCTATCCTTGTCACCCACACATGGGGTCCGTGGGCTCACAATGGGGTATCTGCAAAGGAAGGCGGGAGCAGGGAGAATGAGGGCCTGTCCTAGGGGTTGGGGGATGCACGGCCCAGGGGTGAGGCTGAGGTCACTCAGTGACTTGGGCCAGGCGTGTCTTCTGCTGTCTGATAGATTCAACCCAGGAAGGAAAGCCTCAGGCAGTAAGTTCCCTGAGAAGCAGGGGGGCGAGGGGAATAGGTCATCTGGCTCTGGGGAACCCTGGCTTCACAAGAGAGCCCACTGCATGGAAAAGCACTGGGTTGAGCTGGAGGGGACAGGGGTGCATGTGGAGGGGGCTCCTCTGTCTCTAGCAGGGAAATGACCAAGAACTTAACATCCCCCAAGGACCTTCACCAACCTTCAGGATATGCTTCAGTTTCAGGGAGAAACTAGGGAGCAGGTGTGGAATCAATAATTCATTAATTAATCCACAATGTAGTGGGCGCCCATGTGCTGGGTGCCATACCAGGCTGTGACTCCTGAAACTTAACCTCTTAGGGGTGGGTTTGGGCTGGGAGAGGAGTCCTGCTCATCCCTCACCGGACACTCTGGTCTTGCAGCCAGCCAGCGTCACACTGCTCGTAGCCTGCTTCGTAGGCGGCCTGGAGCTGCCCCGGCGAGGCAATGACCGCCCCGGTGCGCAGGCAGGCCTCTTGTGCCTCCTCGAAGGTCAGAGAGTAGCGGCTGGGGCCCGGGCGATAATGGAACACGACCGCTGGGTGGGGAGGAGAGGGAGAGAAGTCAAGTTCAGGTGCTCATGGTGCCTGGTTTTGAAGGGATATGGAGGAGCCGTCTATTCCTGTCTAATGTATTGGATTTATTTAAGCAATTCAGGCTGAAATCTTACTCGGTGGCAATGTGGTTGTCACAGTGGATGTCAGTGTCCACCTGCCCCTCCTCTGGAAGGCTCTATGGAGGCCACACCAGAATGTCCTTTTTGTTTATAAACTTGAGTTTGGAGAACAGTTGAGCTCTATGCTATGTGACCTCCCAGTTCTCTGGACATTATCCTAGAACAGGGGTTGGAAGTTTTTCTGGAAAGGGCCACATGGTAAATATTTTAGGCTTTGTGGGCTACATGGTTTCTGTTACAACCACTTGACTCCGCTATGATTGTCCTAAGTTAGCCATGGACAACATAAGCCGGTATGGCTTTGTTCCCATCATACTTTATTCGGAGATATTGAGATTTGAATTTTGTATCATTTTCATGTGTCACAAAATATTATTCTTTTAACTTTTTATCCCCACCTACTTAAGAATGTAAAAACCATTCTTAGCCCATGGGCCATACAGGAATAGCTAAAGTTGGCTTGCTGGCTATAGTTAGCTGACCCTTGTCCTGGAAGGTCAGAGCTGTGAGAGGCCTTAGAGGTCACCCAGTGCAGAGGTTTTCTAGTGGTTCTATTTTGTGGAGGTGTCTGATGAAGTGAGGAGAGGCCCTGGGCAGAAAGAAGCCCAGTTCTCCACTCAGATCTGCGTGACCCCTCTGCCTGCTTTATGTATACACTGGCTTCCGCATACAACTTCATTTGAAATAAATCCTTTGGGGCAAGAAAGTGGACATGGCTGGTGTGGCCTGCCCTCACTGTTCTACAGACAAGGAGAGCAAGGTCTGGGAGGAGAGAAACCTGCCCCAGTTTAGGTCGAAGAAGGTACAGCCAGGACAACCCCTCACCCTCAGCCAAGTTCTTTCCACTTGCTCCCATTGCAACCCCTAGAGGCAGTACTCACCACCTGGCAAGCGTGGCTGCCCAGGGACCTCCACTGCACCTGGGACAGCCGTCACCTGCACGACCAGGTCCTGGCTGGTGTAGGCTATGACAGAATCCAGGCCAGATGTGGATTCCTCAGGAAAGCTCCAAGGCCTGGTGGCCTCTCTAGTCCTGGTCTCGGTCTCAGGAAAGAGGGTGGCCCCTATGTCAGGGGCAAATGTGAAAGGCTCTTCAGGCTCCAGGACAGTGGGGGAGACGTCGAAGATGGGTTTCACTGTGAGGATCACGTTGCCTCGGGCTTCACCCTCGGTGATGTTTTGCGGCAGCGGTAGCTCCACATCCGGCCAGGTCACTGTCTGGATGGTGATATCCTCCTCGCCCCCCACCCCGAAGAAGTTTTCTGGAATGTCCACAAAGTCTTCACCTGGGAGAGGGGCAAAGACAAGCTTGAGGGGGATGAAGAACGGGCTGGAGATGAGCACTGGATCTTCCTCCTTCCCTGCTGGGCCACTGCAGGGCTCCTCAGCTATCTGAGTATTCATTATAGGAGTCCCCACAGTTTCAAGTTTGCAAAAGAATTCAAGGGTCACCAGAGGGCAAGATTGCTCATAAAATCAGTTTCCACCCTGACATCCTTCCTGCTTATCACTAACTGCCACTTCACCCATGTCACAAATACCTTGCTGACACTCGATGTTGTGACTAGCGGGACAATAGAAATCCGTTATAAAGAGAAACTGCAAATTCCTAAAAAAAAACTTATTTAAAAAGTTTAGTCCAGTTTTTCAAAATAAAGTCTCCGTCAAGCTTTCCCCTGCTCTTTTCTTTCTTTTTTTTGAGACAGAGCCTCAAGCTGTCTCCCTGGGTAGAGTGCTGTAGCATCATAGCTCACAGCAACCTCCAACTCTTGGGCTCAAGTGAGTCTCCTGCCTTTGCCTCCCAAGTAGCTGGGCCCACAGGCGCCCTCCACAACGCCCGGCTATTTTTTGGTTGCAGCTGTCATTGTTGTTTGGTGGGCCCGGGCTGGATTTGAATCTGCCACCTTAGGTGTACGTGGCTGGTGCCTTAGCCGCTTGAGCCACAGGTGCCGAGCCTCTTTTTTTTTTTTTTTTAAAGAGACAGAGTCTCATTTTGTCACCCTCGGTAGAGAGCCGTGTGTCACAGCTCACAGCCACCTCCAGCTCTGGGGCGTAGGCGATTCTCTTGCCTCAGTCTCCCGAGTTCCCCTGCTCTTTTCAGTAGTTCTTTGACACTCGTTTTAAGGGAGCCCAATTTCAAAGGGCTGGTGAGAGCACCCTCCTGTGGGGCTCAGGTCAGGCCCCTGGCACCCTCAGGCAGACCGGCCATCATCCCACCTCAGGGGCTTCACTCTCCCAGTGTTGCACAATAGTAGGTGGCAGAGCTGAGAAAACAGATTAAAATTTGTGCTTTTAACCCTCTTCCGTGCTGAGCTGACACAACAAGACTAAACAATCTGAAGTCCCTAGTGTGTCCCCTCAGCTGTTCCCAAGACCAAGTGAGAACAGGGGTGAAGGCAGGATGCTTAAACGGGAGCCTCTTGTACTAAGTGGCCTCTTGAAGGGGAAACAGCCAACCCTCCCTTTCTAAGATCTTCTCTTCCTCTGGCCCCCATTTCAATGGTGCAACCCCCCTTCCTGCCCTCAGCCCCGGCCCTACCTGTGTAGCAGATGGCGTCGTATCGGGATGAGGGATCGGGGTAGCCTGTCTGGTTGGCGTGCAGGTAGACGGTCCTCACACCCAGGAGGTTGCCCCCGCAGTTGGGCCGGGCCTTGGAGATGGGATAGCGCACACTGCGGTCGGCCAGCCAGCCGGCACTGCACACGTCCATGCCGCTCTGCCAGGCCAAGTAGAGCTGGCCTGTGGTGGCCAGCCGGGCACCCAACCGTCTGCACTCATTGGCTGCCTCCTGGAAGGTGAACTTCTCGGGAGATGTTGAATAGAAGACCTCACCTGTGAAGGACACAGAGGCAGGGTGAGGGTCTCCCTGTGCCTCCCCTGCCCTGCATCCCCAGAGAGATCCGTGAGGGTCTCTTTCTGTGAGATCTTGAGAGTTCTCTAGCTCAGTTTGGGCTATCACTTCCCAAAGCCCTGGTCTCACATGTCTGTATCTCAGATCTTGCCTTTGCTGACTTCCCACCCCTAGGATGTTTTTACCAGCAGTTAGGCATTGCTTTCTAAAGGCAAATCTTTAAAAAAAAAATCCATATTCTCATGGGAAAAGCAGGCATTAGACTTTGACCTGACAGAACAGTGATTCCCAAACTGGAGTCTCCAGGTCCTGAGGGTATAATTTGGGATATGTGAGCTTTAAAATAAATATTTCTAAAAATCTAACAAGGTTGTACCAGGGGCGGGGTGGTGGTGGTGGACATCTGCTTGGGAGGGAGTTCTGCCCTGGTCGGTGGTGGCTCTGATTGGCTGTTCTATTTGTCTTTGGTTAGCCCAATGTGGGAACACAAATACTTGTTACTGAATAGAGAGGTTTGGTCCTTGGGGTGAGAAAGAGGAAGAGGGCTCTGGTGTCACCTGTGCCCAGGATGGGCCAGTATGCCAGCTCTTCTTCCCAGCCTAGAGGAGCTGAGAGATTCTGCTTGTAGCTGGGAGTTGGGGGGGAGATCCTGAGGGGGCACAATCTGAAATGTTCAAAGGGGTAACTGGTGCAGATGGGGAAAGGGTGTCATCCACATGGCCAGGTAACCCAGTGCGCTTTACAAAACAGAGAAAAGGTCCAGATTCCTACTCTGGGGGTGAGGGGCTGGACTGCCAGCTTCCCTGGAAACTACGTTTCTGTGAGGGAGATAAGGCTGGTGCAATGGACCTTAAGATAGGGATTAGCTGTCCTGAGCAGCTAGGGTCCTGTCTGAGAGGGTCAATCCCAGGTCAAAGACTTCCTAGGACACATGTCCTTGAGTCCAGTGATGACACTAGGTAGTTTGCAGATGTTGGGGCCACTGAGACCCTCTCCAAAGTGGATCTAGACCTGTAAGCCTCTGCTAATGATAGAGGAGGATTAAGTGTGTCAGGCCCCGAGCCAGCATCCGGCCCAGAGGAGGCCTATGTGACCCCGAGTGTCAACGGGGTGATGTGGAGGCGAAGGGGGCCCTTTGGATGGGAGCAGGGTGCCTCCTGGTGGGTGGGGCAGCCTTACCCTCCATCTCCTCAGCGAAGCAGTACACGTCATAGGTCTCGTTGGTGTCTCGGACGCCGTAGGTCCTCACACCAGGAAATTCATCTTTGTCTCCATAGCAGCCTTCCCGGGGAATGTGGATGGGGTACCTGCCAGGAGCCCAAAGTGGAGACGTGACTGTCTGGGGCAGAGGGGAGCCCATGGCCTGTGCTCTTGAATCCTCTTCCCTCATATGAAGAAATTGAGTCTTAGTTTTGCATTTGACCATGTCTGCTCTGAATATGTGGACTGTCCATCTGTTTTCATGTCATCACTGATTAAAAGCAACCCCTCTACTGAATGTTTAGTGGTACCAAACACATTCTATCAGGGCCCATAAGGGCATAATTTGGGACTCGTGAGCTTTACGTTTTTTTATAAAAGGCCAGATAAAAAAATGTTTTAGGTTTTGCAGACAACAGGGTCTCTGTGGCAACCGCACAACTAACACTGTAACATGAAACAACCACAGACAATATTTAAACAAATAGGCATAGCTGTGTTCCAATAAAACTTTATTTACAGTAACAAGGACTGAATTGGACTTGGCCTGTGGGTCACAGTTTGTTAGCTCCTGTGCTATCATTTGAGTCTCAAATCAACCTAAAGAGGCAAGTGTGACAGTGAATCTATTTCATACTCGCAGAAACTGGGGCTCAGAGATATTAACAATTTGTCCAAGGTTACACGGCTTTCAGGTTCTAGAGTTGGTATTTGAATCCAGTTGCTTCTGAGGCCAAGGTCTGAGCTTTTGCACTATGAGACTGCTGTCTCATTATTATTTTTTAAAAAATTGTTAGTGGTTTTTGTGTTTTAGGATCCCTTTGCCTGCTCCATGATTGCAAAGACATTTTCCTTCGTTTTCTTTCGGAGGCTTTGTGGTTCTGGCCTTTACTGTAGAGCTACGAACCACCTGGGACTATAGGCTCATTCACAGTGTACTGAGATCTTTGAGGGCAGGGCTCTATCTGGACTGCACTGCATCCCATTCCCTGGCAACTGCACTCAGGAGAAGATGGACCAAGACACTCAATTTGCCTTAATACAAACAAAAAGGATGTGTAAGATGGTTTACCAAAACATAGAAAACACCAAGGTTATAAAAAAGAGAAGATCAGTAAGTGAAACAATTATGGCAAAGAAAAAATGGGTAAGAAAAATAATGATGTGTAGGGCGTGGGTGCCAGCAGCCACTGGTGGGTCACTGAGCATCTGTGTTGGCCAAGGCATGACACTGGCCCCAACCTAGGTTGGCCATAATGTCACTCACATGGGCACCAATTTAGTGCTGGTCAATACCCCACCCCTTCACCCACCCCACTACCCTGTTGCCTCTGACCTAGGCCTCCTACCTGGTGCCCTCCTCTGCTGGCAGGCTGGGGGCTCACCTGACAGTCTGGTCGGCCAGCCAGCCGGCGTCGCACTGGTGGAAGCCGTCCTCATAGGCAGCCTGCAGCTGCTCGGGTGTGGCAATGATGGCACTGTTTTGCAGGCAAGCCCGCTGTGCCCTGTCGAAGTCGAGGGTGTAGCGTGTGGATATGGCTCTGTAATGGAACACGATACCTGCAAGACACGTGCCCACGAATGGGAGGGTCAGTTACAATCTCTGATCCTTGAGGCCCTCGAAGAATTATGGCTGCTGCTGTAGGTCAAAAGGGCCTTGGGAACTCTCTGGTCCAGGCCAATGTGTGGATGCTCTCTCCACATTTGCATGTGGTCCTTTGACTTTGCTGAAACACCCAGTAACAGGGAACTCACTACCTCACAAGGCATTCCTTTTTGAATACTTATGATAATTCTGATGATAATCAGAAAGGTCTTTGCATTAAACTAAAATCTGCCTCCTTATAATTTTTTCTCCAAGACCCCATACTGCTTTGGGGAAGTAAATACTCAAAGGCCCCTGCACCCTCAGGCCAGAGGCATCCTAGTGGGAGACCTGTTTAAGGAGCACCCACGGTGGATCATCTTTGGCAGAGCTTCCCACCGTACAAAAGTCTGGTGCTGACCAAAGTCTTGAGGCTAACCAAGGACCCAGACATTTTCCCTGGGTGAGAGAAAGGGTAACAGGGAGTCTTCAGCCCTTTGGCTTCTGAAACTGAGGTTGAGGGATGGAAGGGAAAGACACCTGGATGAAGCATCGGGAGACTGCTCTGACTCATATCCAGGGGGACTTTAGGCAAAACACGTAACTTCAGTTTGCCTGTCTGTAAAATGGGTATGGTCACAAACCCCACAACTCATAGGATTGGCGTGAAGCATTGTCATTTACCTGTGACTGAAACCAGGAAGTATTTAATCTCCTCCCCCCTCAAGGTCACAGAACAAGCACCTGGAGTTAAGTATCTCGACTGAGGTGCAAACTGGTCCATAGAGGGGCTGGTTTGAAAAGCCAGCCTGCTGGACCCATGCAGGGGAGAACATTCTGGATCTCTCTGTGGGTGAGGCAGCATCCCTGTGTGGGGCTCTCACCTTTCACCACGACTTCCAAGGTGGCCTCACTGTCCTCAATGCCATGCATCACCTCACAGCGATAGATCCCAGAGTCATTGGAACGCAGGTTCTGGATTTCCAAGGTGGCATCGCTGGGGATGGCCGGGTAGTTGGGCAAGGAGACCTTGTCTTGGTAGGCGTTGTTGACCCGCACACGCCCTTCAGTGGCCACCAGCAGAACCACCTCCTTCTCCTTGGAAATGCGGCTCCACTTGATTCTTGGGGCGAGGGGGGCGGTGGAGGGGGCAGTGGTCACAGGGTGCATGGGGTCGATGAAATAGCAGGGGATGGTGAGGGAGGTCCCCAGGGGGACCTTCAGCGGGGATGGCTGGGGGATGCTCACACTCAGTGAGTTGTCATGGTCTGTGCGGAAAGATGAGTGTGGAAGACAGACCTGTTAGTGCCCAGAGAGCACCACCCAGTCTCCCCACCAGCCCATCTGGAAACACGCTCTTCTGAGGAACAAAACCCAGCACAGGTGTCTGTGTCTAGGATGGAGGCACTTCTGGGTCATATGGAAACTCCCAGGAAGCCTAGCCATGCCCTTTTCTGAGCAGTGTTCCTCAAGATCCTTGGCCTCTACCCCTTAAGACAGAAACTATGAAGTCAGAAAAGGGTTCCAGAGGAGGGCAGGGGAAATGGCAGCCAGCGTTAAGACTGCCTCTCTGTTTCTTAAACTGGGGGACCCCAGGGGATGCCAAACCCTGGGATGAGTAGGACTCGTCTTCTTGGGGGACAGCTTTACTCAACCTTTCCTGGAAAAATTATTTTGGGGATATAAAAAAATTATTATGGAGTATAATCTACACAACCTTAAAGCCAAGACATAAAACTTCCTAGATATGTCCCAGTAGGTGAGGTCTAGCCTCACCTTGTAGGGGGACAAGTCACTTTCTTCTGCTGTTTAGGAGTCAGTGAGCTCAGGTGGAGGAGCATCAGAGAAGATCTGACATTTCAGTCTGCAAAGAGTTAGATGGGGAGGGGGAAGGGGATGGTGCAGACTAGACTCCACCAAAATCAAGGACAGGGTTGATGGGTAGGTGTGTTTACAAAAGCCTGTTAGGGCTCGGCGCCTGTAGCTCAACCGGCTAAGGCGCCAGCCACGTACACCTAAGGTGGCGGGTTCGAATCCCCAGCCCGGACCCGCCAAACAACAATGACGGCTGCAACCAAAAAAAAAATAGCCGGGCGTTGTGGCGGGCGCCTGTGGTCCCAGCTACTTGGGAGGCGGAGGCAAGAGACTCGCTTGAGCCCAGGAGTTGGAGGTTGCTGTGAGCTGTAATGCCACGGCACTCTACCCAGGGGGACAGCTTGAGGCTCTGTCTCAAAAAAAAAAAAAAAAAAAAATCCAAAAACAAAAAACAAAAGCCTGTTAGAAGTAAGAGATCTGCTGGGAATGGGAAAGAAAGAGCTTTCCAAAAAAATAGCACCTTTCATGGTGAGTCATAAATTTATGAAAACTCCTTCTTTCAGGAGAGCCTACAGGTTGAAATAAAAATGTTTCAGATATTTGTGGGTGGTAGATACATAACAGGGCAGAGGAAGGGGAGCCAGGAATGTTTGGAGTGCAGGCCTAGCCTTCTGATGTCCTGGGCAGCACCCTCTTCTTCCACAGACATCTCTGTCTGAACGCTTGGCCCTTGTACCCTCAGACACAGCTTGGTTTCAGCAGTGGTGGTTCTCAGGGGAGAGCTGAAAGTAACTGCGGCGCCCAGCTCAGCAGTTTTTAAAGCCCTCAGCCAACCCTACTGCACTGGTTTCCCTGTGTGGGCAAACCACTCCCGGGTACAGCCAGGGGCTGGATCTCTGTGGGGCCCTGAGCACCAGTATAAATAGAGGCCCATATACCATACGTATACATATGCAAATGTTGTAAATCAGGCCAACAGATTGGTAAATATGTTCTATCTTCCTGTGTGACCTTTCGAAATGACCTGAAAGCTAGATTTGAATGTACAATTCTTAGATTCCTTAAAGTTTTGCCTTAGGAGTTGGTGGCTAAGTGCGAGGATGGGGAACGGGACCCCTTCTTTCCCCCAACTGACTCTGTACCGTAAGAGGGTCTCATGCCTATGCTGCGTCTATGTTAGCCCTCACTTCCCATACAAACAGCCACTCCTTACCCCTCCCTTGGGCCTAGGGGGTGCTTCCCATACCACATATTGCAGTATGGTCCCACAATAGGAGGGTGGACCTTGTAGGTCCTCTCTGGATGTGGCTTGGCCCACTTGGACAGGGAGCACTGGGCATCCTGGGTACCCAGAGCTTGCTCTAAAGGGGGAGCGCAGGTCTGGGTGGACATGTCCCATTGGCCCTACACTCTTTTTCCTTTGGGGAGGGTTGAGGCTGGAGGAAGACCAGAGAGGGGGCCTCTAAAGAACACAGCCCAGAACAGGGGCCTTCTTGTCTAAGGGAAATACATTCCATTTGGGGGTTAAGCCCATCCTGGGGTAAGTGGAAGTCTTGTTCATTTGGTTCAGGGCTTGATTAGCAGAAACATACTCTATCTCTGCCACATGCAAGAGACCAGGTTGGGGCTTCCTGAGGATGGTTTGCCAAGAAAGGCAAAGGGAGGCCCATCTGATTCACTGGGGCTTCTCTCTGTTTTTCTGACCATCGCCTTTTCTTTGATTCTCCTGCCAATCTTTCCTTGGCAGCCTGTTCTCTTTTGGGTCATCTATGTCCTGTCCCTATCCCAGCAGTCCTAGGTGACATCCATGGGGAGAAGGATACTTAGAAGGAAGGTACCTGTCAAGCACCTTCCCTGCCAGCTGTCTGGGCTCAAGGGTAGCTAGGAATAGCGTTATCTGAGCGAGGCTCCTGGATGTGCATGCACCTGAGGATGCTTTCTCATCTCAGTTATGCTTGCATCACTAGGGGAGCGGAAGGGCCAGGAAAAAGCCAGGAAAGTAGAAATTATATCCCTGGGATTAGCAGTACCAGTACCAGGTTCAGTACCCAGAATACTCAGTACTCAGAAGCCAGTACTTGTGCCTACAGAATAAATGAGACATACATGGGAATGTCCTCACCTGAAACTTCTATTGAGATGGCTGCAGTGATGACCCTCAGAGTCACAAAAACGAAGAGTAAAGTGGTCATAGTTCACCTGCAAGAGGAGAAGCAGAGCCATTATTTTGATGGTGAAGGCATTGGTGAGGTCAAGGAGGGTCATGCGACACAGGGCAAAAGGTGATAACTCCATGCCTGAGCACGTGAAATCACAGACAAGGATGTTGCATGGGGCTTATCAGATATTTTCTCCAAGAATCCTTTCCTCAAAAAACCTCCACAGATTTCTTGGTTTAACTCCAGGTGTTTGCTTGATAAACCTTCTATCTTTCAGCCAGTGAAGGCTCATCCTAATGAATTCCTGTGACGGTTCATTTTATGTGTCAACTTGACTGGGCCACTGGGTACCCAGACATTTGGCTGAACATTGTTCTGTGTGTGCTTGTGAGGATGTTTCTGGATAAGATTAATATTTGAATTGGTAGACTGAGTAAAACTGAATGTCTTCCCTAAAGTGGGTGGGTCTCATCCAATCAGTCGAAGGTCTGGATAGAAAAAAGACTAACCTTTCCTTGAGTGAGAGAGAATATTTCCTGCTTTAATGGCTTTCTAAGCTAGGACATTACTTTCTCTTCCATCCAGATTTGCTGAAATGTCAGCTCTGGAAGTCTTGAGATTAATGGGTCTTTGAACTGAAATGACCTCACTGGTTTTCCTGGGCCTCTTAGCCTTTGAACTTGGAGTAGCACTGCGCCATCAAGTCATCAACTCACCCCACCACCCTCACAATCATGTAAGCCAACTCCTTATAAGAAACATCTTTGCCTCTCTCTTATGTGTGTGTGTGTGTGTATCCTACTGCTCTCTTTCTCTTGAGGACCCTGACTAATGCAATCCTCTAGGCCTAGAGATGTTACAAGTAATCTAACCTCATTAATTAAATCTGGACTTGCCACCAACTTCAAACCCAGGGATCTTATGTGATTTAGAATGGTCTGTGCCCAAGATTTCGTGCAAAGATTCAGGGGCCTGGTTCAAATCAAGAAAAAGATGTCTCCCACCCAGGAGCTTTAGAAGAGGCTGTGAAATGAACAGATTAATTATTTAGGAGAGCAATGAGGGCCTAGAATCCCTGTAGCCCTTTTGCTGGCCCAAAGAATGTCTTCATGTGAATTAGAAAGACAAGCCTTCCTTATTGTCATCTTCTAGAAGTCTGTCATGATACCTGTGCAGGTCTGTGACACCCACAATGTAAAGGAAACGCCCTGCACAACTGGGACCCTGATGCCAGCACTGGTAGACCCCAGAAGACCAGCTGGGTCAATAAGAGATGAACCAGAGCAGTGGCTCTCACCCTCAGCTGCAATTGAAATCACCAGGGCTTCAGCCCAGACCTCCCCAGAAGGTTATGAGGTGCAGTGAAGACAGTACTGCTGGCCTAGAGTGTCATATTACAGACACTTCCTGTGACTTGCCCTCCACGACAGGTGTCCAGTGATGTTCCCTGACTTGTTTTGCTGGATGGGCCTGTGTCAGCACCTACCCTGTCCTCTTCTTTAGTTCATGAGAATCCATGTTTGGTTTTGGAAGTGTTTGCATCACAGCAGGAGGGAGCCTTGGAGTGGATGGAGGACCTGGGACTGAGAGGCTGAGGTGGCACCCCTGGCATTCCCAGAGCTCAGTTCTGGCAGAATCTGACAGCCCAGCAGGTGTCGCTGTTAGCTCAGTCACCATTGGCTGGGGCTGGGTGCATTCTGGGATAAAAGGGGGCAGAACCCCCAGAGCTCCTAGGTCCAGGAGGGGCACTGATGGTCCCATCCCAGAGCACCCAGGACTCTGGGTGATCATACTCTGCCTATTGTTTGAGCGTGACATTTTTCTACTACCTGTCCTGTCCTTTATCTATGCCACATACACTGATCACCCAAGAAATGAAAGGGCTATCTGTGTGGGTGCTGCTAGGGGTACATGGTGAATGAATGAGGTGCATCACCCTCACATTGGAGGAAGTCTGGAAAATCCCAGAGTTCTGAGAAGTAGCCCCTACTTTTCCTTAGGGACTTTTCTACTTTAAAAAAAAAAAGGCTTTGGGCCTTAGCTTCTGGCCCTGTGAGGGCTGCTGAGCTGTGAAGCTCTCATTCAGGCCCAGTGTGACCAGTCACAGCTGGGAAACAGTTCCCAGGAGGGTGGAGGGAAGGTGTCCTCTCCAGGCTGGGGAGGGGGCCTAGACTTGTGGGCTCCTCTCTTCCCAGAGCCTCGGGGATTCGTGTTCAGACACAAGGCCCGCCTGTTCTTCCCTCAGAACACCCTTCACTGGGAAGTTCTGTGTATGTTTTCGGAGTTGTGTTTCTTCCCTCCCTCTCTGAACAAGCCGGACATTGTCCGGGGATGCAGGAGCTCTCTGTGGGGCTTGGACTGCGCTGTTTTTCTCCCTGGCTTAGACCAGGAAACGAGAAGGCATGAAAAGGGGTGTGGGGGTGGGGATGGGGTGGAGTGGGCAGAGAAACTAATTTTATTTCTTCTTCTTTTTTTAAAGACAAACTTTGGGATAGAAATATTGCAATAAATATGCTCTTGTGTTTGTGTGTGTTTTCTCAGCTGTAAAGAAAATAGAGAGAAATTCCATTCTGTCTGGGTTCCAAGTGTCTCCAGGACTCAGTGAGTCTTTTATGTGAGCAGACTGGCTTTGCCAACCCAAGTCCCAGTGCAGCCCTGTCAACAGGGAGGCCTTTCTCCCTGGGAAGCAAAATCAGAAGGTGACAAGAGGACTGCACAGCACATAGCGGGTTAGAAGAAGGGGATGGGGGGATCCTGCAATGAGGAGTTTGGGGAGCAGGAAGTGGGTGCTGGGTGGAGGCCCGGGGGGGAGCCATGGGTGTTGGGTTGATCAAGTAGGAATTACTCTCTCAGAAAGAATTATTAGAAGATTTGATTGGAGAAAGGAAGACTGCTAGTGCTTTTCACCTGAGCCGAGGCTGTGTGAGTGTGTGTATGTGTGCACACATGTGCCCTGTAGTTGGAGACAGGGATACCCTTCATCTCCTTGTCAACTAGACTCCATCCCACGATGTCTACCTCACCAGGGCCTTGATTCATCAAATTATGGCATTGGACAGGCACTCACTGTTTACCCTGATTTCCTCTTCCAGCAATATGTACAGTGGAGACCCTGAAACCTGGGGTCCTACTGCTTAATAACACAGGGCCACCTACTGCTTGATAACACAGGGCCCGCTCCATGGCTGTTTCAAAGACTGAGTGAGATAATGGGACAGACTTGTCCCTCCTCCAGGCCTGGCACTGTGCCACTGCTCTGCATCCAGCACAGGGTCTGGCACTCAGCAGGCACCCCTCAATGCGACTTTCCTCCCACCTCCCTGGTGATTCAACCCGAGTGAGCCTCTTGGAATTTGGGGATTGGAAGAGAGTTTAGTGGTAGTAGAGAGTCTTCCTGTCTCAGCATGAGGGTTGGACTAGAAGACTTTCCATAAAGCATAAAACGGCTTTTGTTGGAAAAACAACATCACTACATTACCAAATATTTGGAAAATGGGAAAATGGAGAAATCCCCGATCTCTCACAATCCTAAACATTGTTAGTGTTTTGACAGTTTCCGTTCCAATCATTTTTCTTAGGTATCCACTTGCTTTCTTTATAATTATAACCATTTTGTATCTTATTTGCCTTTTCCATACAACATAATGGGACAAGTGACTATTTTTGTTCCTTCAGAACTGATGATCATGGTGCTTTATAGTCATGGCCTTCTTGCCGGGGATCCTATCTACAGAGCCAAGGCAGGTGGTTTTCAGCCTCTGACTGAATGGCAGGTACTCATCCCTTCCCAAGGTGGCCCATTCCATGGATGAGCAGCTCTAATTGTCCTCAAGATCTTCCAAGATGGGGTCAAATGGTCCACCCCCATTATAATTTCCATCTGTCAGTACCATCATCAGGGGCCCACAAAACTTGTCCACTCCTCTTTCAGGGACCTCATGATGGATCTTCAGGGGTCTAATCTGCTCTCCTGCCTGTTCCTCTTCCATGGAGATGTTCCTGGTCCCTTCAACCAACCCTTCCTCATGTGGCTTCTGGACCTCTCTTTCTTCCTGGGAGCAAAGGATGGTCCATCTGGGACCATCCCGGATGGTTAGATATGGGATAGACCTTTGCGAATCTTAATTACAACTTCTTCATTTCCAGGCAAAGAAACTGAGGGCTGAGGAGGTTAAGTGACTCATTCAAGGCCACATGGCAGGTTGACAATGGAGCCTAAACCAGAACCTAGTGCCAGGGGCCTGGTCCCAGTATTGCCAGTATTAGCAAGCTGCACAAGGTAGTGACTATCAGTCTGGTTTCCCACTGTCTCCCTGGCACCAAGTGTCATGCCTGGCACAGAGTGAGGGCAATCAAGAAATGTCTGCTGGGTGAATGAATAAATAAATGGAGGCCTGTATATCTCACAAGTCATCTCCTTCAATCCTAGGTCTCAGAGGGAGAAGGGGTACAAGTGGAGGCTCACAGGTGTTGAGTACCTTCGTAGTACCCAGTGGGGCAGATTATTCCTAAATCTCAGCTAGAGATACATTGCTCGCTCATCATGAGTGTGACTGTATTGATTAATGATAGCATTTCAGTACACCATGTATTTTGAGAAAGGTCACAGTCCTCGTGCAGCCCACAGTAACAATCAGGGTCTTCCCTTCCCAGGATTCTAAGAAGCCACCAGCAAGAGCCAATTTGTTGGCAAGAGCCAAGTTTTTTTTTTTTTTTTGAGACAGAGTATCACTATGTCACCTTTGGTAGAGTACCGTGACATCGCAGCTCACAGCAACCTCAAACCCTCAGGCTTAAGTGACTCTCCTGCCTCAGCCTCCCAAGTAGCTGGGACTGCAGGCACCTGCCACAATACCCAGCTATTTTTTGGTTGCAGTTGTCATTGTTGTTATCTGGCCCAGGTCAGGTTCAAACCCACCAGCCTGGGTGTATGTGGCTGGCACCCTACCCACTGAGCTACGGGCAAGAGCCAATTTTAAGCATCTCTTTCCAATGCTCTGTTCAGTAACATCACACTGGTAGCTTGAAATTTGTCAGGAC